GTCTAGTTTTAATCTTTGGCAGGTTGAAATCCAGTTTTTCCAACACCATTTATTAAATAGACTATCTTTCCTCCCATGAAGATGACTGGCTTCTTTGTCAAAGATGAAGTGGCTGAGCATAACTGTAGTTGTTTCTGCATCTTCTAATCTATTCCACTGATTGTCAAGTTTGTTTCTTTGCCAGTACCATGCTGTTTTTATCACAGTAGCTTTGTAGTATAGTTTCAAATCGGGGATTATAATACCCCCAGCAATGTCTCTGTTGCCTAAAATTGCTTTTGCTATTCTATGTTTCTTCTGGTTCCAAATAAATTTTTGTATTGTTTTCTCTAGTTCTGTGAAATATATTGTTGAAATTTCAATTTCCATTGCATTAAATCTATATAGTAGTTTTGGAAGTATGGCCATTTTCACTATACTGGTTCTTCCTACCCGGGAAAAAGGGATATCTTTCCATTTTATTATATCCTCCTCAATCTCCTTTTTCAGAGTGCTGTAGTTTTCAGTGTCAACGTCTTTTGCTTCGTTTGTTAGATTGATTCCTAGATATTTCATTTTTTTGGATGCTACTGTAAAAGGAATTGTTCCCCTAATTTCTCTCTCAGTGAGTCTGTTGTTTGTGTATATAAAGGCTATTGGTTTTGGAGTGTTGACTTTGTATCCATCTGCTCTACTGAATCTCAATTAAGTCTAGAAGTCTTTTGGCAGAGTATTTTGGGTTTCCTATGTAAAGTATCATATCATCAGCAAATAATGAAAATTTAACTTGTTCCTTTCCTATTTTTATTCCTTTTCTTTCTTTCTTTTTTTCTAATTGCTGTGGCTAATGTTTTGAGAACAATATTAAATAGGAGTGATGATAGTGGGCATCCTTGTCTTATCCCTGATTTTAGAGTGAAAGTTTTCAGTTTTTGACCATTTAGTATGATGTTGGCTGTTGGTTTTTCATAGATAGCCCTAATCAGGTTGAGATAAAGACCCTCTAGTACAATTTTCTGCAGCGTTTTTATCATGTATGGGTGTTGGATTTCGTCAAATGCCTTTTCTGCATCTATTGAGATGATCATATGTTTTTTGTCCTTGACTCTGCTAATATAGTGTATTATGTTTATTGATTTATGAATGTTGAACCATCCTTGCATCACTGGGATAAATCTGACTTGGTCAGGGTGTATAATCTTCTTGATGACCTTCTGTATTCTGTTTGGCAGTATTTTGTTGAAGATTTTTGCATCAATATTCATTAGGGAGACTGGCCTGTAGTTCTCTTTTTTGGTTGGGTCTTTCCCTGGTTTTGGAATCAAAGTAATACTTGCTTCCAGGAATGAATTTGGAAGCTTTGCTTCCCTTTCAATTTCCTTGATGAGTTTAAAGAGTAATGGCGATAGTTCTTTAAATGTCTTG